TTGAGACCCCCCTACCTCACGATTTCTCGCCCAAAACCCGGCCAACGCCTCCCTCCATGACCCCCACCTGGCCCCGACACCACCATGCCTCTGGGCTCTGTTCTTGAGACACCCCTACCTCACAATTTCTCGCCGGAAACCGACCAACGCCCCCCTCCATGACCCACCTGGCCCCGACACCCCCATGCCTCTGACCTCTGTTCTTGAGACCCCCCTACCTCACCATTTCTCGCCCAAAATCGACCAACGCCCCCCTCCATGACCCCCGCCTGGCCCCGACACCACCATGCCTCTGGACTCTGTTCTTGAAACTCCTTTACCTCGCGATTTCTCGTCCAAAACCGACCAACGCCCCCCTCCATGATCCCCACCTGGCCCCGGCACCCCCATGCCTCTGGGCTCTGTTCTTGAGACCCCCCTACCGCACGATCTCGCCCAAAACCAACCAACGTTCCTCCATGACCCCCACCTGGCTCCGACACCCCCAAGCCGCTGCTTGGGATCCCCCAACCCACCATCCCATCCTTCCTCGCCGAAGAGCGACCAATACTCCCCATCGCGCTTCCCGCGACGCTTCCACCAGGCCCTGGCACCCCCCATCGCGCCTTTCACCGCGCTCCAACCAGGCCTCGGCATCTACATCCACTGAACCCTTTGAGCTTCGGATCTCCCACTCCACCATTTCTCGCCCAAGACCGACCGACACCTTCCACCTGGCCTCGACACCCCTACCCCTGGGAGCTTTGTTTTTAGAACTTTCCACCTTACGATTCCACCTGGCTTCGACACCCCTACCCCTGGGAGCTTTGTTTTTAGCACTTTCCACCTTGCGAGTTCTCTCCCAAAACCGACCGCCCCCCCCCCCCATGCCTCTGGGTTCTGTTCTTGAGACTCCCTACCTCGCGATTTCTCGCCCAAAATCGACCAACGCCCCCCTCGATGACCCCCCACCTGGCTCGGACACCCCCATGTTCCGGGCTCTGCTCCTGAAAACCCCCTACCTTACGATTTCTCGCCCAAGCCCGACCAACGCCCCCCTCCATGACCCCCACCTGGCCCCGACACCCCCATGCCTCTGGGCTCTGTCTCTGAGACCCCCCTACCTCGCGATATCTCGCCCAAAACCGACCAACGCCCCCCTCCATGACCCCCACCTGGCCCCGACACCCCCATGCCTCTGACCTCTGTTCTTGAACCCCCCCAACCTCACGCTTCCTCGCCCAAAACCGACCAACGCCCCCATCCATGACCCCCACCTGGCCCCGACACCCCCATGCCTATGGGCTCTGTTCTTGAGACCCTCTACCTTACGATTTCTCGCCCACAACCGACCCACGCCTTACTCCCATGACCCCCGCCTGGCCCCCGACACCCCCATGCCATCCTTGGCACTGTTCTTGAGGCCCCCCCCCCTCACGGTTCTCCTCTCGCCCAAACACGACCACCGCCTCCCTCCATGACCCCCCACCTGCCCCGACATCCCCAACCCCCATGCCTCTGGCTCTGTTCTTGAGAAACCTCCTACCTACTTTTCTCGCCCAAACCGACGCAACGCCCGCACTCCTGACCCCACCCTGTCCCCGACACCCCGCATGCCTTGGGCTCTGTCTTTGAACCCCCTCCCACACGTCTCCCAAGCGCCCACCCTCTCCCGCCATGCCCCCACCTGGCCCCGACCCACCCATGCCTCTGACCTCTGTTCCTGAACCCCCCCAACCTCGCGATTTCTCGCCCAAAACCGACCAACGCCCCCCTCCATGACCCCCACCTGGCCCCGACACCCCCATGCCTCTGGGCTCTGTTCTTGAGACTTCCCTACCTCACGATTTCTCCCCCAAAACCGACCAACGCCGTCCTCCATGACCCCCACCTGGCCTCGACATCTCATGCCTCTGGGCTCTGTTCTTGAGACCCTCCTGCCTCAAGATCTCTCGCCCAAAACCGGGCAACGCCCCCCTCCATGACCCCCGCCTGGTTCCGGCTCCGACACCCCCATGCCTCTGGGCTCGTTCTTGAGACCCCCCTACCTCACGATTTGTCGCCCAAAACCGAGCAACGCCCCCCTCCCTGACCCCCGCCTGGCTCCGACACCCCCAAGCCTCTGGGCTCTGTCCTTGGGGCCCCCTCACGATTTCTCCTCCGCAACCAGCAAACGCATCCCTCCATGCTCCCCACCTGGCCCCGCAGGCCCCTGGGCTCTGTTCTTGGGATTCCCCTACCTCACGATTTCTGGCTCATAACCGACCAACGCCCCCCTCCATGACCCCCGCTCGGCTCCGACATCCCGAGGCCTCTGGGCTCTGTTCTTCGGACCTACCACCTCGCGATTTCTCGCCCCAAAACCGACCGGCGCCTCCCTCCATGACCCCCACTTGGCACCGACAGCCAGAAGCCTCTGTGCGTTTTTCTTGAGACCCTCCACCTCGCAATTTCTGGCCCAAAACCACCCAGCGCCCGCCTCCATGACCCCCAAAACCGAC